AGATTTTAACAACTCTGAGCTATTAGTTAAGTTCTCCCCAAGCGAGCTCGATGGGCCGAATGGCCTCCTCTCGTTTGTATAGTTCTTATGTTCTTATGTTCTGGTGTTTAGAGGTTATCCTGACCTAAATAATAATAATAATAATACTAATGCATATAATTATAATAAGTATTATTATTATTATCTCACCAATTTCAGCAGCAACAACAACAATAAAGATATTTCAACTAAATTAAATGCCAGATCACCAATTACTTGAAGACTTTCAAACAGACCAGACTGGCCATTAACTCAGCTTCATTAGTGTTTTCACTAGATGTTCTTAGAATGTTTTTTCCTTTTTCATTAACTGAGCCACATTAGTGTTTTTACTTTATCTTCTCAGATTTTTTCCCTTTTTTTTAAAAAATCCAATCATGCAAAAGCTCACGCGACATTAATCAGTCAATCAGGCATGATCAGATGGAGTTGTCTGTAGACCAACTGTTTTGTGCCATTTGCTACTTCAGCTATTTATGCTCTTCTATTTTTGGAAAGTAAGTAGGCTATTTAGGGAAATTACTTAAAATTACTATGGGTGGCAGAATGGCCTCACAATTCCAGGGTTGTTTGATTCCTGTCCCAGGACTTGTGCTCAAACACAGTATGAATGCATGTATTTTATTTAGATTAGTGTATCTAGTTTGTCTTTTCTGTGTAGCCTTGCAGCATCTGATGGACTGGCATTGCCCCCAGTTTGTAGCCAGTACTGGGCTTTCTGGGATCACGGTGACTCTGCATTGGATGAGCACTTATGGAATAAAAATGGATGGATGGATAATCCTGTCACCATTAATGCTAGCATTTAAAGAACAATTAGAGGCTCATGCGCTTGCTTCACAGTGGCAAAGCAACCACATGCTGGGAGTGTGTCATATGATGACCTACTATAAATACACACAGGACTTGAGCTGAGAAGTTTTGACACTTCAGTCAGCACATAATACAACTGGAGCCTGTATCACGAAACTAGCTGAACAAACTCGGGGTTAGAACAGAAATTTCACCTTAACAAAACCAAATAATTTGAGATAAACAATATCACAGCATTGACTATCAGTAATCTGGGTCAAGCCAAATTCTCTTACTGAATAAAAATAAATCCAAGAATTGAATTTCAACTACTCAATGCCATGAATATACCACCATTAAACTTAAAGGTTAATATCTAAAAGAGGAAAACACCGGATTAACATATATATGCATTAAATATGCTAATTTTTAGGCGTTTCAAAATTAATGACTCCTCCAATGATCACTTTCTTTCCTTGGAAGTGGAAACAAACAGCTAAATTCAGGGTCTGTGGTTAATCACAGAAACTCTTGACCTGTTTGATGGAAATGAGATTATTCATTCCACCTGAGCTCTTCAGCACTTGATTAAACTTAATTCACATCCCTAATTGAACTAATGTAGCCTTCTCACAGAGACAGAGAAGTTACAAACATGCGATCGCTCTGGAGTGGAGATGGGGAGTCTTATATGACATGGTTATTAAGAAAGACGCTTTGTAGCACCTGGGATTATATACTGAGAAGCGGGGTAGTAATTCAACAGTATCAAGCGGGGTAGTAATTCAACAGTATCAAGTGGGGTAGTAGTCCAACAGTATCAAGCGGGGTAGTAGTCCAACAGTATCAAGCGGCGTAGTAGTCCAACAGTATCAAGCGGCGTAGTAGTCCAACAGTATCAAGCGGCGTAGTAGTCCAACAGTATCAAGTGGGGTAGTAATCTAACAGTATCAAGTGGGGTAGTAGTCCAACAGTAATCCTACACGGAGAATAGATGCAAGCTGTAACTGGAATTCTACGATCACCATATCGAAAGAGACCTCATAAAAGCTACACAAGTAGTGGGGGGGTCATATATGACACATTCATTCACTTGACCAGGGCCTTATTACAGATCATATACAGTGCTTTTTAATCAGTAGCACCTTTGCAATAACATAAAACACCAAACATTTCTGTTTAGTATTAGTATTAGAGACTGACTACAATTGCAATTGATAGGAAAATGGCAAGAACAGAGTTTAATGAGTCAATCAAAAACTGAGACCACTTAATAAAAAGAAAATGTCTACACAGAGGATATGTGCAGATATGTTCAACATTGCTTGTCAATGGACTTCTGTTATGAAGCTAATACAATTGCAACATCTAATACCAGATTTGAGTCTAGCCCTTCCTAGTTAATTCCCTTATGCTGAAGTGAAAATGGCTCTTTTATTTTGGATTCACTCCATCGTTTTCTTGAGCCCATATCCATTCCTAGCCCTAAATAAAGTCCCCATTCCTACTTGGTTGGTAAAAGACTGCAGAGAGGCGCCATGTTTAAATTTTAATTCAATCTAACAATGAGACAGCAGCCCCTCTAGGCTTTCCAAACCCACAGCATACCTTGAAAAGTTTCAGGAAAGAATATATATATTTACCCTTTTACACTGCTCTGCCTCATTTGCACCATCTGATGAGAGTTTCAGAAATCAAAAAAGGGGATCTAGGCCAGAAATGGCCAGTTATCTTGTGTGGAAAGTCAAGTCCGAGCTTCACCATCTCAGCAGAGCTGGTTTTTAATGATTATTTTCATGCCTCATCAAAGCTACCATACAAGATGCTCTTTTTTTTAGGAATAGCTCATTTTGTGTGCCGGTACGGTGTAAGCATAAAAAAAAAGTTCAGGCGTAGCTAGACCTACCTAGCTAGCAAGCACATAGTTCAGAAACGATACTGTTTAATTCGCATTCCAGAAATATGATGAACAAAATAACGCTTACATTATCTCATGTCCACACTATTCTCTCTCACTGATAACTATGAACTATTTTAATATTTTGCATTTATATTCACATTATATTAATAATGTTACTTTCTCCTATGTCATTCCCCTACTTTTATTTTTCAAGTCTGCAAACTTAGCAAGGTTTCTAGGGAAATGGCCCCCACAATAGCGAAGAAGGTGATGTACAATCACTCAGAACTGCCACTTCAGCCAACAGGCTCCATGGGCTGAAAGACGAGTAATCTAAAGCAGTGCTTACCAACCTGGTCCTCAGCGACCCCCAGACGGTCTACATTTTTGCTCCCTCCCAACTCCCAACCATAGACTACACATTTTTGCTTCCTGCCAAGAGCTGGTCTGGGGGTCCCCCAGGAACGGGTTGGAAAACAATGATAAAAAGCAACCTGCCATGGGCTGATAAAAGCTAGGCAGTTACAGTATATGGGTATGACAACAAACTGCTTCCCTGACAATGAGACTGTTAAACATGATTAATGCTTGGACTGCATTTGTTTGGAAAACTATTTCTTTTGCTGGTCCAAGTATTCCTGTGCCAGGATGAGTCCCCTCATCAATGCATATCTCTATACATGACAGTTTTTCTGAAAGGGATTATTCTATCTCTCTCACATTCAAGGTTGACTGACTGCCCTCCACCCAAAAGTTTAGTAGCTATAACAAGCAGTAGATATTAGCAGGGACAGCTTAAGTATACTCAAATTTTTCTTTAGATCACTGACTTTCTCTACTCACAACTTTAACCCTTTAACTTCATCAAACCTCATGCTTTAACTTAAAAAGCCCCTTTCAGACCTGCACTGCCACCCTGAACTTTTATAGAAATTGCCCAGAGGGGCTGTATACTAGACTTTATATGGACTTTACCCTGTTAGCTCCCTAGTACAAAGTCTGGGTTATTTATGATTGACCCAAAATGGAGCAGGGAGAATACTGGCGAATTCACTGTGAGCGAGTGAGTGTGCTGATGATGTTCCTATTGTGCAACTGTTGTGAAAATGGAAGAATACATACACCTGAGGGCAAAGAAGGGTCATTGACACAAAGAAAACCCAAACCAGCATAGCTACAGTAACTGAAGCGACAACAAGATTCGGAAACTTCTGTCAGTAGTACTGTAAAGAAAACACTGTGATTTCCGCAGCATACTTTTTGCATCACGCCCTGCCTCCTGCATGCTCTACCCAAGTGTCACCCCTTATCTAAACCAACCGAAGTATTTCTAGTATATGTGAATGCACCTGACACGGGCATTCTCTGGTTTTGTGCCACATATGTGAAGGGCAACTCTGGAAAATGTCTGGACCTGATTCTCTGGGCAATGTCCAGAGTTCATGGGTGAAAATGGCTTATGACTTGTTTGTCATCCTGAGTAAAGGAACAAGGGCTCCGCAATTCTTTATAAATTTTAAATGATTGAGTACGAAACTTGCTACATCTCATTTACTGTTGTTGAGATTCTGTGTCTCATGCCTTGAGGTTATAGAAGAAACAAACATGTTAAGGTTTCACACTCACCATTGTGTTCACTGACCAACCTTCATTACACAAGACTGGCCGTTTGACCTTAGCCTTACAGACACCTGCAGAGAGCCATTGACGCACACTGACACACACATACAACCATCAATGCATGAATATATTTCCTATATGTTTTTTTTCTTTCTTTTAAATGAATGTTTCAGCATCATTGTAGTACAAACTGTGTTAAAGACCAGGACACCGTTAAGGAATGCAGTTTCATATGTTGCATTTACAGTTGGAGGAGTTCTTTTTGTTCAAACAAATTTATTGGAATTATCCTTGAAATACATATGATGTCCTGTGAGTGCACATGCAAAATCATTTCTGAACAGAAAGTATCAGCAGTCAGGTAAATTGCTGTAGAGAGCCATGATGTGCCATGATTTTGACAAGTTTTGCTAAACAATCAAAATGATTAAAAATAATACTCTGAAATTTGTATGACTCTCAGTAATAAGTTATTATATAATATTCAAACCGTAACTATAAAAATTGCAATTGCTTAAAAATGACCAAAACAAAAATAATAAATACAACATAAATAATGAATAAAAATGCTTGCCCACCTGGACTTTGTTGGAGTCTAGTCTGCTCTTCTCATTGTTGGTCTTGGCTGCTTTCTCTGCAACTTTCTTCTGCAGGTGGGGGCCCCGGCCAAAGAAGATGTAGTTGACGAAGGCGTACTCCAAGAGCGCCAAAAAGACGAAAACGAAACAGCCCATCAGGTAGATGTCGATGGCCTTCACATAAGGAATCTTGGGAAGGGTCTCACGGAGATGAGTATTGATGGTAGTCATGGTCAGCACAGTTGTTATTCCTGGTTTGTGGAAAAAAAATGAAATGAGTTGTTTCTCTAAAGTTGCTTTTACATGTACAGTAAGAGCTGTAGGCCAGTTATTGACCTCTCATGTGCTAGGATCTCTGTCTGTCAGTGACAGACTTCATTTGACTGAATGTTGGAACTTCTATGCAACGGAGAGTGTCTTTTAAAAATATACTGCACAAAAATGTAAAATAGCCAGGTACATATGTTGCTTTAGGGTGGAAATAAATTGAAATAAACACTGTTTTAACAGATAATAAGTTTAATCAAAATTCATTAAAATGACCTGTATGACACCAATTATATCTTCACTTAATTAGACTAAGTAAGGAAAACAAAAGAGATTTAAAAAAATGTAGGATAAAATGATTGTAGATCAGCCACAGGGGAATAAGCAACATTAACACTCAGGGACAGCAGCAGTAATAAAGTGATATGATGTTTAATGAGTAACCTGCATATGTAAGATGAGCAGATGCTGATCTCTGTAAGTACCACGCCTGACCTTTACCATCAGAACATGAAATGAAAGAGTGTGTTTAATCAGGCAAACAAAGCAGCAATTACTGAACTGCATATTCATTCTGGGAACAATGCCATGCATAGATGTGCATCACGCCTTTCAAAATGTGTCCCTAGCATATTGGGCAACTAAAGAGCAAAAATGTGTCCTTATACAACCTGAAAAACCACTAAGCTGCAACACAGAAAGGCCTTAATAAATTTCCCCTCTCATATATGAATTATTTTGCATATAATAGTACCACAAATGTGAGAAAAATTATATTTCATAGTTAATGAGAAACATCCCCTGTGTTTATCCATTAAAACAGAATGGAGTTAGAATAAATGTTAGCTTGGGAAAAAAAGTCCATACAAAGTACAATGTGATGTTTTTAATGTATGTGTAGAAGTACAAGAAATATGAATATTATGGTCTTTGCATTATAAATTATGTATATATATATATATATATATATATATATATATATATATATATATGTATATATATTTAATGTAACAGTCACTTGTGCTTCGAAGAATGTTGCCAGATTCATAAACAGACAGGGAATAAAGAAGACCTCACAAACGGAGAATAACGATACGCAGTTTCCGGTGAAATGCTGCACACTCATTAGCTCCTTTCTTGTTCACTTTGTAAAAATGTCTGCATTACACCACATTCAGATTAACATTAAGAAGTAAGCTTATTGTGGAAGAAATGGCACATTAACACAAGAGGCAATAATAAAAACAGAACAACAACAAAAGAAAGAACTTTGCAAAATCTCAAGTGGTGCAATGCCTTTCATTATCAGAAGATAAGAAGACTTTCTGTGACAAGAAACCTAAGTAAGCAGTATCCAAATATTGCATTCCTTACTGATTTAGCCTTTAGCACACACACTGAGCAAAGATGAACTCGCATGAAATGCTATGTAGTGCTATTTACACCACCAAAGTAATCGCTGCATTGTTTGGTTTAAAGCAGAAGAACCATCTTAAAACCCCCTAACTTTAGTGTAACTGGTGTACTGGATTTATAACTAAAAGTCTCTGGCCCCGTTACACTCCTGAGCAAAGCAAAGTGTGAAATCAGTGCCGCTTCAGTATAATAAGCTGCTGTATAAGTGTAAAAAAAATTAGAGAAAGCCACTGAAGATCTCATCTCTGATTCTGCCCACTTCGGCATTTTGGTTCAGAAGTTAAATCCTTTCAAAAAGACATGCAGTAATGATTTCCTACTGGATGTAGTAAATGCCAGCATGTGTGTGTGTGTGTGTGTGTGTGTGTGTGTGTGTGGGTGGGAGATCACGTTATATTATCGAATAACAATAAGAATAAAGGAGAATTGTAGTTAGAAAATGCACAAATATGATGTTTAGGATGTAATAATCAGGGGCACATAACACTAGTGTATGCAACATTCGTAAGAGGAGTGAGAAATAGATCATGTTGTGCAAGATTCCTTAAGTGGATTCCAGCAGGGCTGTAATTTCTAGAGCTTCCAGAACTGAGACTTTATTCTCTTTTTCCGCAAAGGTAATTATTCACCTGCCTCACTAAGCGCCCATAGTCATGGCATAATGATAACGGTGGTGTCTCTGAGGTGGTACTACACGTGTAAGCAATGTAACCCCCCAACGAAGTACAGGCAAAATTAGTGGGGTATAAATGTACCCTGTACCACTTTCTCAGGGCGCCTGGGATGTCTAGTTACCTCGATCCCCTCGTTCAGACTGTAAACTCCAGTATCTCTCAATACAGTGAATGCCTGGGTTAAGAACATCCAACTTACGAACAACTCATACTTACGAACGGACCACCACAAAGCCTATTAAAAATTCAGGTTAAATATAAAATGGTTCATAATAGAGAACACACACATTACATTGTGATGATCATGAAAACATTGTGTGGTTTCAGAGGGCTGTCAGCTCGAGGTACAATTGTTTTATCAATTTTATATTATTATTATTAGCAGTAGTATTATTATGTACCATATTGTTATTTTAAGATGTTTTTGTGTATTGGGAAGTGCTCCTTAAGTGTTTAATATGCACAGAGACAAACATTTGACTAAGTGACACTAGATAAGAACCGTATTTACTTTTTCTGACTTACCTATAAATTCGACTTAAAGACAGACTAAGGAAACTGATCTCGTTCATAATCTGGGAATTGCTTGTAGCAAAATTTTATCTGAAATTTTAATCAATGAATAGAGCTGTCCAGACACAGCCCTTTGGTGAAATGGTCAGGTGTGTGACAGTAACAGGGCCGTACCCAAAGCCACTCGGGCCGCGGACGCATCATAGTTGATCCAGAAGGAGACCCAGGACAGGATGGTGATCAGGATGGAGGGCATGTAGGTCTGTAGGATGAAGTAACCGATATTCCTCTTCAGCTTGAAGCTCAGGGAGAGTCGGGGGTAGGATCCTGATGGACGATTTAAGACAAATGCAAAGAATCACCCATGAGAACTTCAGGAAACTTCATGAAGAGTACAGGCTCTTCTCCCAATGAATCTGTCATTTCTGAATTCATAATCATTCATATTCCAACTGTCACTATTTTGACTACAAGTTTAAAGATCTATAGTCTAAACATTAAAAAGATTATATGCTCTCTGTTCATTTACCTATTATTTTATCTTTTTAAAATTTTAGTTTATAATGAACTAACCTGCAGGGCATTCTCCATTTTTTCATAGCGTTTCAAAGGAGATGGATTTTTGCGATTGACTTTGTTCCTCATGAGTGTTTCGTTTCAGATACAGGTCTGGTACGCAGGTCTCTTTATTTGTTCAATAATTTTATTCTTATAAACATGTCCTAACAGTGGAGAGGAGAGCACTGAAGCATTTATCAAGAGAATTATAAGCAAGTCAGAATGTATACAATGGCCCGACAGTCCGACACTAACAGCACCTCATTTACATTGTTCCCTGCCAAAAGCACAAATTCTCATAAGATTTTATGAACTTATGACTGAAGATGCAACAGCATGCATTAATTCTTCAGGAAAACAAGCATCACTGTGTGATACACAGAGGAATGCATTCTTTTTAATTGGGGTATTTCTATTCGAATTGGGAGTCAGACGCATGAAAGACGTCTCAAAAAAATCTGTGACGAGATGAGGAGATCAAGAGATACTGTGATGGGACGCCAGCTCTCCTTTGCATGAAAAACTAAGTTGCTTCTTAAATTAGATGCCTATGGGGAGCTTTTATAGTGTTTGTAAAGTACAGGAAGTATATTTAAATGCATAGGTTCATTAAACATGCCATTTCTAGAAAAAACGTGCTGAAATTTCAGATGCATTAAACAACAAATTAACTAAAAGTAATGTTGTATAGAAAAGTAGTAATGATGCCCCAGTGTTCTTAGTTGATGATCTGAATGCAGACATTGTTAGCAAATTATGATCAGGGGGCCGATGTCAGGGAGAGAATGAGGGTGTCCTCTGGCTCCACAAAGGTGATAAAGCATGACTGAACTATCATTTGGCCAGAGGAGGGATTGAATTAGCATTTATTGGGAAGCTGGTCAATGTGGGGACTCACCACTGTCTCAGGCTCATCACACCTCAGGTGATCACCTTTTATATGCCAAAATTCACTCACAACATAATATATGGGGTATCAAGGTGGCTGCATACTTCAAACAACAGTCCAGACAAAATTTAATTTCTGGAAATGAGCATGCATTTCACGTGCTGAAGACAAAACTGAAGGGAAAATGTCCCAAGAACAAGCAGGAACTGAAGACAGTTGCGGTACAGGCCTGGCAGAGCATCACCAGGGATGTAACCCAGCGTCTGGTGATGTCTACGCATTCCAGACTTCAGGCTGTAATTGACTGCAAAGGATTTGCAACCAAGTATTAAAAAGTGATTTGATTTACGATTGTTAATTTGTCCCATTACTTTTGGTCCCTTAAAGAGTGGGAGGCACATATACAAACTGTTGTAATTCTTACAACATTCACCTGATTTGTATGTAAATACCCTCAAATTAAAGCAGAAAGTCTGCAGTTAAAGCACATCTTGTTGTGGTGGTGTATAGAGCCAAGAAGATTAGAATTGTGTCTATGTCCCAATATTTATGGTACTGTATTCTTGTTTGAATGTTTATTAGCATAAGGTAAGACCTGGGGCCTCATGTATAACGATGTGTGTAGAATACACACTAAAACATGGCGTATGGACAAAACTAGGAATGTGTGTACGCAAGAAATATTTCAGATGCACAAAACTGTGCGTAAGCACAGATCTATCCACATTCCCTTTATAAATCTCAATGAGCGTGAAATTTTACGTACGTGAACGAGCCCACAGCCACCACCCCGACCCGCCCATAATTTTGTATATTTGCATATGTAAATCTGTATTAATACCCGCTTTGTTCTATGTTTTTCTTAAACAACAATGGATAAACCACGTGGGAAAAAGAAGTGTTTTAGCGAGTGTGAAGTGGAGGTCAAGTTAACAAAAATCGAGAAAAGTGATATTATTTATAGTGGTTTAAGTAGTGGCATCAGCAATAAACAAAAGTTGACGGAGTGGCACAGCGTGGCGAAGACAGTTAAAAGTGTCGGTTCCGAAATTCACACGGTGGCCAAAATTAAAAAGAAGTGGTCGGACATTAAAGTCGACGTAAAAAAATGAGCCGCTCACCGTAAGAGTCTTAACAGCACAGGCAGCGGAATTCCCGGTCTTACACTTGTATCGGGGTGGAGGACGCCGATGTCAGCGCGGGTGAGTTTTTCTCGTACCATACTTGTTTTAATTACTTGCATGTTTATGAATAACAAGTAGGGCACGGATGCGGTGTTACTTTTGTTTATTCCGCCCCCAGTGCCAAGGACAACACTGGCGATGATGGTGCTGTTGTGCCGAGCACATCTTTGGGGGCTGGCTGCACACATTAGTGATGGGAACTTCGACTCAATTAACTGATTCGATTCTTTCGAACTGTCCGTTGTAATGAATCGATTCTAAAATCGACTCTATGATTCACTATTGTTTTTTTTTGTCTTTTTTTGCGCCGGAGTCTATGACTCAACGAATCATGGGATCGGATAATAAATCGAACGGTGTCTCAAGGTTACGTTATTTGACTGAAAGATGGCGCTGGTGTTCAACAAAAATGTTCAGCTTGACTACTCACAATAAAAAAAAAACAATAGTGCAAAAAGCAAAAAGGGTGTCGATGCTGAATAAACACGCATGTATATATATAGTTCTTATTTTGTATGCTTAAGCCAAATTCATGTGCATGAGTAGGCCTATCAAGGACATCACAGTTAACAACAACTGGAATATTACCAATACAATCACACATACACATACAATGAGCATGCATGAGTAAACTTGCATACGTTGTTGTGTAAACGTCAAAGTCAATATATATCTTGTTTTTTGACAGCATAAGTAAACGCCGCGAGGGCTCTTGGGATCGATTCACCAAGTCACCGAGTGTCTGAAAACCGTAAGTTCGATTCATTCATAGAACGGGTTCTCGGGGAGTTGCTGAGATCGTATATCAATAGACTAATACAGCAACCAAGTCTCACGACGAATCAGGCGCTCAGTCGTTTGGGTGTTCTCGGAACACATCAGGACATGGAGGAAGACTATGACTTAGTGAACAGACGTGGAAAAGCACCCAAATAATAAAGATAAAAAGTTTTCATCGCATTAACCCACATTTCTGCAGAAAAAACGTAATGTGAATAAATTAAAAAGCATTCGAATTCAAAAGTGTTTTATTTGTCGGTTTGTATTATTGTTATTAGTATTAATTTATTATGTTAATATAAAAATATAGGCCTATACTTGTGATAATTCGTTTTTTAAAATATTTACAAGCATATTGTGCACGGGTATAAGTGACTGAACCACAGGTATAACAGTAATAATAATAATAAAACTTTAGCACGAATAAAATAGTTATTACAGGACATATGAATTGTTTACGTATGACCTATTTTTACATTGTTGATTGCATTCAGTCTAGTCTTTCTCACTGGAGAAATAGGACACATTTGCACTTTTATTTTAATACAGGAAAAGACACGTGTGAGTAATTGGACTCCTGAAATTACATGAAAAGACAAAGTACAGTAAGTGCAGTCACATACAATAAGCACAAATAAATGTGTACAAACAGTTGTTTAAACGCCAAATGCAATAAGTGCGTTATTGTGTATATATATATATATATAATTTTATAATTTGCTGCTGTAATAAATCGGCAATAGATGCGTTCATTTTACCCCTATTAATCAGTTGTTGCAGCATTTCCACAGTAAACGCTGCAATGGCTCTTGGGATCAATTCGCAAACCGTTCGTTTGAGTCACCGACCGAGTGTCCGAAAACCATAAGTTCGATTCGTTCATCGAACGGGTTCTCGAGTTTTTTGAAGTCACCGAGTTAGAGACCGTATCTCCCTTCACTTATACAGCAACCTGTCTCACGACAACCAGGTACTCGGCTGTTCGGGTGTTCTCGGCACCAGAAGGAAGTCTACCAACGCAAAAGTGAGTAATGTAAGTAACGAACAAAAGAATGAACGTAAAAGTGATAAGACAAGCGCAGACGGAGCATGAAAAATAAATCCGAAATCGCTGGAGATGCTTTTGGATGTTGAATAGCCAAAGATCAGTTGTAAAAACGTTTTAAAATAATTTTAAAAATCGTTTCGTTCAGACTTACGAATCGGTTCGACCCGTTCACTATAAAAAAAAACCGATTCGTTCGCGAATCGGCCATCACTAGCACACATTCCCGTGCCTTAGAAACTGGGGGGCGACCATCCGGCTGTGTGCTGACTGAAGCTATGCTGCAGTCACAAAAAGTAATCGTGAATGCTGTAAGACGTTGCCAATTAATTAAAACATCTGAATGATACGGCGTGTGATATTGAAGTTGTAACGCTCCATTTGTCAGAAAAATTGGTTGCTCCGGGTCAGGTTCATCTTGCCTAAGCTCTTCAGATACCGGCAAGCCACTATTTTGTGCCACATTATGCAACATGCTACATGCGCGTACAATGAGACACACTTTCTGCGGGCTGTATAGCGCACCCTAGCGGTCTGGTCCAGGCAACGCCAACGGCCTTGAAGCTGCCCTTCAGTGCGCTCTACCACCGCCCGAGTCCGAGAATGCAGGGCATCATTATAACGCCGCTCTTGTTCATTCTGTGAGTTTGCGAGCAGTGTGAGAAGCCACGACTTCAGTGGGTACCCACTGTCCCCTAAGGAGTTGTCAAATGGTTAAATCAAACAAAGCTTACAATATTGGGCCAAATTATAAAATGGGAAGAATCTTCTTACCCAGCAGCCAGCCATCACGTACCACCCAATTTCAAGATTGTTTCCAACAATACTGTTTCTGCGAATGAACAAATCGTGGGTTGAGCCAGGCCATCTAGCGACAACATTAATGCAGGGGTGTAAGAAGCATTTTAAGTGTGTGTGGGGGGGGGGGGCACACTGGCATAAAACTAATATTTTATGTTAAATGTGGGGGGATCCAAACAAATAATTATGAAATGTGAGGCATCAAATTTAATGGCGGCGACGCCCATGTATTAATGAGACGCATGTTCGAATCACACATAATTTGTACATTAATAGAGTGAAAGTGCTTTCTATTTACATTAGCAAATTCGTTCTCTGGAGGTGCCTTTATAGCAATATGCATACAATCGATGGCTCCGATTATATTGGGAAAACCGGACATCACTGCAAACTGTGCTTTAATGTTTGCCTGTTCAACCACAGTGTAAGGAAATTTTATATATCTGGGTGACAAGCGGATTATTCCGTCCCATACAGCTGGCATGGCGCGACTTGGTGTTCACTGAGAAATACCCGATCGGTCGGCAAGTTCTTTTGTGCACCTGTGGCTAAGAACCTGAGAGTGGACAGAACTTGTAAAGGAACATGTATGGCGCAATTCCTCATCGTCTGCCTTTGTAATGCTTGCTCTTGGAAATCTGAATCTATTTAGAAGCCAGTCATCATCATGGGCCAGGAAATCACTATGATCCCTGAATACGCGCTCTCTTCTAATTCTTCCATAAGACATGTCTTCCAATAATGCAAGAGCTGCCATGGTAGTTGTAATAGTTCGGTCATTTTCTGCACCGTTTTACTGTTACAAATTGATTAAAATCGGGTGCCGTACATTTGTAAACAACATACAATTAATGTCGGTGTATTGGATAAAGTCAGAATGTGCGTAGCGGTACGCCAAGTTTCGTTTTTATACATCTCGACATGAGCGTGGAAACGGACGTACGCAACATTTTCGTGCGTACGCACCTTTTATACAAGAGGCCCCAGGACACCTACCTGTTGCAAAGACGACCTTCTTGGAGAGGGTCCTGTAGTTGATGATGGAGAACTGAGGCAGCTCGATGCTGTCCACTCCAGTGACAGAGCTGCCTCCCTGCCAGTAGAACTCAATGTCGTCTGTGGTGTAGCCATCTGAATGAGGGAGACAAAGAGGGAAGGAGTACATTCTCCTGAAGGCAGGCATCATTCATCAGGACAGACACTCAGCAGGTTGGGGGGAGGGGGGAATTCTGTGCCCATGATCAGAAAGTGGCTGGTTCAAATTCCAGGACTGACAGACTGATGACAACAATGGCTTTGCTCTCACCTCCATGTGTATGTATGTTACACGTGAGAACATGATAGGACATGTGAAAAGAAGAATTCCAGTGTACCTTGACTCATACGTGCACAAATGGCAAATAAAGCATCATTTCACTATTTTCATCACAAATTCTCAGTGGGCTGAGTGTCTAGCATCTTGATTATCTGACAACGCACTTTGAAGTTTTATCCCAGTATTCAACCCAATTTACTTAATTATTTTTATGTACTGCCATTCCAACATGGCTGCTTCAGGGAACTCAGGCTAAGGTATAAAGACATTACAACAGAATATACCAGCTCACAAACAGTGTGGAAAAACAGCTGGGATCTGGTCTACGGACTGTCCAATCTCCATGACCTCTGCACAGAAAACTTAGACATGCATAGGTCTGGAAAAACACGGAGTAAGTTGCTTGAATTATAAATAATGTGTTGGTTTGGTTATACTCTGACAGACAGTGATATTCAGCAAGTCAATATTGCAGCTGCTGTTGATATTTTGGAAAGGGTACAAGAAAAAATAATATTACATGGATGCTATATCAGTATATTTCTATTTGCTCTGGCATTAAAAAGGACAGCATAAGTATACAAGCCGGATATCAATTATTCCCTAAAGCACTTCTAGATGAACACTCTATTGTATCTGTTGAATAATGTAATTATGGTCCAGAGTGCAATTAGCAAGAGTTAATTGTGATTTCATTATGAGACAATAATATAAAACTATTGTTAATGTTCTTCATTATACTATTAACAAGATTATTTAAGACATGAGAATTATAAAATCCTTTTATATTTGATATTAAAGTCAATTTAATATTGTTTGCCATACTGATATATAATAATGAAAATGGGCAATGATTACTAGGTCAATCACAGAATATTCTGGAAATGTATTGTAATTCTCATATTCTATTTTCCTAATGTTTTTTAAATGAAATATGGCAAATTCCATTTATTGTGGACTTCACAAAAGAAATAAACATACTGTGTGTTGTTAGAGAACAATTTCTCCTCAAGCCCCCCCAGCCATTTTGCTTTTTACGTGTCTCATTTGTAATATTTGTCACATTTGAATTTTCCTTCATTATCCTGTAGCTGATTATCATTAAATTTGATATGCAGGAACTATTTTACCTATCATTTTTTGATGTTTCTATCAAAATCTCTTGTACTACAGTATACTGCTAGAATTCTATTTTGTAGTATTTTGTCCCAGAAGACATTATTAATTGAGTTTGTTTGGAAACACTGACAAAAATATCACACCTATTAAAAGATGAAGTCAACAGTCCCTTGATTAAAAAGATATGTTGGTGCAAAAAAGTCAAACATATTCTATGAGCTTAGTTTTTAAATATATGAATAAACTGTATTTGTCAGGGTCAGCCTCCCGCTGTGGTCCTTCCGTGCCCCTTCCCCGTTTGACCAGCAGGTGGTGCTGGTCATCCCGTCCATACGTCAGTCCTTGTTTCTCCCCTGTCTCTTGTCTGGTCTCGTGGCTCAATGTATTAAGCATGTGCTGTCTGTTTGCCCCTCGGTCCTGAGTTCCCTCTTGTTGTGAGTTCGAATCCCGCCTCCTCTGTTTTTGTATTTTGCTCCCTAGTGTTTCATTTGAGTTTCTTTAGTTCTTGTGTCTGATTTTGTAGTTGGTTTTGTTTTTGTCCCTTGTGCCCCTGCTTGTGTCTTTACCTGTTTAATTCCCTAGTGTTGGTTTCTGTTTCCTTGATTAATTCTTAGTTTCCCTGATTGTTAGTGTCTTTGAGTTAATTGGTTTCACCTGTGTCCTGTTTCCCTAGTCTTTGTTAATCAGCCTCACCTGCCCTGTGTTAGTCATTACCCCTGTAGTATATTAGTTCCTGCCTTTGTTCTGTTCCCCGCTGGTTAGTGGTTCATTGTCTATGTCTATGATTGTTGTTGGTTGATGGTTTTGATATTTTCAGTGTTCTGCGTGTATTCGGTTTTTGTTATTTAGTCTTGTTTATTCCCCTTTCTGTTTTTGACCCCTTGTGGTCTTTTTGGTTTAGTTGTGTTTATAGTGTTTTCAGTTTTGTTTAATAAACCCCGTTTTTGTGTTCCTGGAGCCGCCAGTGGGTCGTCCGCCCTTTTTTGTGTCTGCACCATGCCACGCTCCCGTGCCCGAACCGCCCAGAAACATGACAGTATTTGGTTAAATGCAACATATTACTTATTTAATGGTGCTTTGTGACTCTTGTAAAATGGTCAATGATATGGATCAATGTATGGTCACAGGTCTATGGATGTTTTAGCCATATACTGTATGAACACATTTAGGATCCATCACATTTGACATTCTGTGTACCTGCTACTGTGTTAATGATCGGAATCAAACCCAACAAGTGATCCCTTAATAGGTCTGCCAATATTTTCAAATTTGAGATGCCTTTGAGAAACTGTAGCAAGGAGTTTCTTTGCTCTATGCTGATGACCTCATCTTGTTTACACAAAGGCTTCCTCACTATGAGGCCCTTAGCAGAATGAGAGGAGAGGTGCATGATTTGACATCACTGTCTTTGTGAAAGCAGTACCATATGTGGTCACTATGAGATGTGGAGAGGGAGGGTTAAAAAGACAAAACATAAATTACTACTTTTTTCTTTATTAAACAGTGGTTTACTGACTGTCTTTTTAAAAAGTCCCTGTCAATACTGCTGCAACCTACTCAATCAAAATAAATATCCTCTTTAGTAAATAAAATATAAATATCCATTGACATTTTAACAGAAATTAACATTTAGAAAATTGTACCTGATCTGTACTATATTCACATTAGCAGCTTTCAGCCTCATGTCAGACAAATATTGTCTCAAATAATACAAACCATAACAACATAAATATCCATTATGGTGCTGCATTTAAAATGTGCTGTACTTGAATTCACATTAACAACTTCCAGCTTCACATTGGGACATATGCTTGCATTCGTAGTGGTGCAGCTTCATCTACCCCTCTCTGAATGTTGCTCGGGAGAAACACAAACCGAGAGACCCATACCGAAAATTTTCGGTATGAATACGTGTGTCACATCCCGCTCCGTACGATCCCGATGTGTGCCACGCCCCCCTCATTACCTCGTGTTCAGCCCTGATTGTTCTCACCTGTTGCCTGTTCCGTTTACCTAGTCCTGTGTATATTAGTCCGCGTCTCCCCATGTATGCGAGATCCGGCATTGTATTGTCAGTGGCTGTCTGTACCTGTCTGTCTTTTGACGATAAAACCCGGTTTACCAGAAGTCCTGGCTTGCTCTCGTCTGCTTCCCGGCTCGCCCGTCTCCGAACGTGACAGAATGCCGGATCTCCCAAACAACACAACGCGGGAGACCGAGCACCACCGGCTCCGTCTCCTGCAAGACTTTGTGTTTTGGCGCTCCCAACCCGAAGTACTGGAGGATCCTGGAGCTGGCCACCCGGGGCGCGGACCTCCTCACGGAGGAGCGCCCGCCCGGACAGCAGTACCTGCTCGAGCGGGCGCGCAAACTCATACACCGTCTAAGTGAGCGGCTCACGCGGCGGAGAGATGAACGCATCGCCCGGAGCCTGGGCGAAGTGTTCGCGGTGGCTCCGCTTTCTACTGCAAGCGGCAAGAAGAGGCGGAACAAAGACAGAGTGCAGCAGGAAGAGGCTCCGTCTCTCTTCCTGGGGGCTTGCACTCTGCTCCCCGCCTGGGAGTTAGCCAGGGAGCACGAGGGCTCACCGCTCCCCTGGGATGACTTCGCCGCTACCCGCCTGCTCGGCGTCCACGGTGAGATGCCGCCTCCGCGGGAGGCATATCCATACCGGCCGGAGCGCCTGCACGGAAAAGGGATCAGCCCGGTGAGAGACGTGATTCCCCGGGTTTCTAGAGCCCTTAAAGGGGCAGTCCTGGACCTGCCCGCTCCAGACCCGCCTGCTCCGGACGTACCAGCAGCGCCTGCTGCTGCTGTCGCCGATCTGCCCGCGGCTGCGCTGCCTGCTGCTGTAGCCGCCGATCTGCCCGCGGCTGCGCTGCCTGCTGCTGTCGCCGCCGATCTGCCCGCGGCACCGCCTGCTGCAGCTGCCGCCGCTCTGCCCGTTGCACCGCCTGCTGCAGCTGCCGCCGCTGTGCCCGCGGCACCGCCTGTCCTGCCTGACTCACCTGAACTACCTGTCTCGCCTGTCCTGCCGGCGCCTGCACTGCCTGTCTGGCCTGTCCTGCCGGTGCCTG